CTACATCTGTTTGTGTATCTGCACGGTCGAAAGAATGGACTTGAACTAACATTTAGTCATTCACTGATCCAAATGAATAGAATTTAAAGGATCTTATGTACTGTGTGTGTCTTCCGGAAATAGTCTCTTTGCCCTTCCAGGGTAGGGGTAAGGCTGCGTACATCCTTCCCTCCCCAGACCCCACTTGTGGGAATACACTGGGATGTTGTTGTTGTTGTTGTTATGTATTCTGTGCCTAATCCTGAAATTGGTTCAACAACTATGACCAACAACAAGGAAAGTATGTGCATACAGGTAAATGGTGATAAGCAATATCAGTCCGCCTATGAACTTTGTGTTTGTGGATGGAATCCTCCATCAAGACTTAGAATGGCAGTTCCCGCCCCTTCATGTTAGTTTGCTTATTAGTAGGCGAAGTATATTCTTTTGACAACGGTGTCTTTGTGTTGCAGGTATAGTTCCTTTTGCAATTGGTTCAGAAACTGTTGGGTCGATTACCTACCCAGCTGCTAGGTGTGGTGTTACTGCATTGCGGCCCACTTTTGGAGCTGTTGGTCGTACTGGAGTTATGAGCATATCTGAAAGCTTGGTACCATATCTCTTGCACAAACACAGAATTTGATTCCATTTCGTATGTGTTTTATCTTTTATTATAGCAGCGCTGACACTTAAATCTGGCTGTTCTATTAGGACAAACTAGGACCATTTTGTAGAAGTGCAGCAGATTGCGCTGTTGTTCTCGATGCCATCCTGGGAAAGGACCCAGATGATCTTTCATCCAGAGACATCGCGTTAGTTGATCCATTTTCAGTTGACATCACAAAACTCACTGTCGGTTATCTTGAGGACGCTGACAAGGAAGTAAGTGACTTCTTTTCATTACTAGAAATTTCAACATATGACTAATTCTGTAATTCAATTCGTTTCTTCATCTTCTGTGAGTGCCAGGATTTGACTGTTTAATTATGTCAATGACAGGTTGTTAATGTACTTCAATCAAAGGGAGCGAAGATGGTTCCTTTTGATCTGAAATATACTGTTGACATTGCTCAAGGTATTGTCAACTTCACTATGGATGTTGACATGCTAGCCCACTTTGATGAGTGGCAACGCTCTAACAAGGATAATGAATTTGAAGCTGAAAACCAATGGCCTCTTGAACTTCGACGTGCCCGTGTAATAACTGCTGTAGACTATATTCAGGTACATGTCTTGTTCTAGAAAACAATTCTCGAGGTGTTAAAACACTTTGGCTTCGGATAGAGCCTGATCCACTTTGCAGTTGTTGTTCAGACATTAACAGATTAATATTTGTATGTGGAATCAAATATTTTGTTAAGCGTTAAAAGAATGAAGTTGTACTTAACAGGCACAGAGAGCTAGAAGCAAATTGATTCAGGAAGTCAGAGAAAGCTTCAAAGTTGACGCGTTTATTGGAGATGCAACTGATTGGGAGAAAGTTTGTGTGGGCAATCTAGTGGGTATGCCAGTAGTGGTGGTTCCAATAGGATTTAAGAAGATACCGAATGCTCCAACAGATGATACTCGCAGGAGGACAACAATCACTACAGGCATTTATGCTCCTCCCGACCATGATCATGTTGTAAGGCTCTAATTCTCTCTCTTATGTTTTTGCGATTTGTAAGGGATACCTCCCACCAGCGGCAACTCTAGGATCATCTATATCTAATGTTAGTGTGATTCAGAATGAGTGGTTTTAGTATATTAGTATGTGTATGCATTTTATATGTTTTTTTGTATATGTGACATCGTTCGAACAGAAAGCAATGAGTTCATTTGAACTCAAGGAACGCGCCCTAAATCCATGTTTACTGTCAACACTAAGTGTAGTTCTTTGTCTTGTTATTGAGATGTGGCTTTTGGAATTCTGTTCTTTGCTAAGCAACCTCCATATTGATTTTGTGTGTTCCTTTTTACGCGCAGGCTTTAGCACTGGCAATGGCTTATCAGTCAGTCACCAATCATCATAAGCAGCGTCCTCCAATTGATGATATTGGGCCAAACGATTCGATTCCAAACCCACCCACATCCATGATACCCGCAAGACAACTACGTGGTCATTAATCTCCGTGGGGCTTCTGCCGTCACTTTGCGTCGTTTAACGTATTATTGAAGATGTATACCACTGGTTGTAATTGTTACAAAGTATTGGATTGTCTTTTCTTAGTTCCAGTGGGAGAAAATACTTTTCTTCTACTTGTTTCGCTAGATGAGATATTCGGGGGCGGGGGCCTTCTTTCTGGTATATTGGTTCCATTCTGTTTAACCTTTCAATAGTTGATGGTTTGGACTTTGATATCTCCATTTATTGTTTGTAACACGAAATTTCACTTCAAACCCTGAAGTGATGTTTAAAATTGACATTTTTAGGATGGTAGGAGTAAAGAATTAATTTGTAACAGTTGAAGCAACTCTTGACAGTTTGTCTAGTCTTTAACTTGGATTCAGAAGGTTAGGTTAGATGTTAGGACACTGTCTCGGTTGCACTGGTGCCAATTTACCATGAGTAGTATTTAATGGTCCTCAACCATCTCCTTTCAAGTAACAAAGGGTACAGAAATTATAAAGAGGAAGGAGGCAAGTGCACTGATAGCCATTTTTAGGGATGCTATATAGAAATTAGCCAGTACTTATTTTGTCTTGAAATTTTAAACTAAAAATCATAATTTCAGCACAATTCAGAATACTCTTATCTCGAAAAATTGAACTGAAAAAAATTTAGGATGCACCGGCTAATTTCTAAATAGCAGTATTCTGGTGTCATTTCTACTTATTCACAATATAAAACCGGGCTTATATGGATGGTCTTAGCTGTAGATTGTGTGATTACGAAGTTCACTCGGTTGACTGTTTGGAATGATGATGAAAGAATATTAATCAGAGGATTCATAAACAGGATATAACATAAATCTCTCTTTCACAGAACTAAAAACTAGATTACTAGAATCCATTTTGCTGCTAGTGTTATTAATTTTCTGTCAATCGTTGGTACTGCTTTGCTCTAAGGCTGTTGGAAGGAAAAGAAGAGACTATGTATGAATCATAAAGACATTAAAAAAGAAAGTCAAAATCCAGCAAGAGGACTAAAATAAACTTAACAAAAAGAATCTACGACGGGCAATATAAGCAACTTGAACAAAAATCTTCTACATCAAAAACTATGGAAGAATACCCTAATTATATGGATCTGTCTCATTGTACATTGTCACACATTGCCTGTTCCGAGGGAAAAAACCATAAAATTTTGGGAAAATGTTTGCTGGCCTGGCCATTAGGTAAAGCAGGGGAAGAAGTAAGATAGTAAAGGAAAATAAAAGAACAGCATAGCACCTAAGTCCTTCTAGCACTCGCTACTTCTTCGCCCATCACTAATTATCACGTCTAGTCCTTCTACGAGGAGCAGCAGCAGCATCCTCATTCTGCTCTTCTTTCTCCTCCGTAGCTCCTTGACTGTTAGAAGTTGATGCCTCGGCACCATCACTTTTCTTAGGCTCTCCAGTAGCTCTTGCCTGCACAAGCAAGTAGGTTTCTTTTATCAAACATACCCAACAAACATGAAACCAGGTGTGATATTTCTTTCTTTTCCTATTTCTTTTGGACAAAGGGATGGGAGGAAAGCTGAGGCTGAGTTCGGACTTACAGGTTGCTGCTTCTTCCCACCAAAGGTGAGTTTCAAGAGAACTGTGAAGATGACAATTACGATTGAAATGACAACACCAACTGTGAGATTAGGCTTTGTCTCAGCCTTCTCAAGAAGATCCTACAACACAAATCTATGTATTAGTCACACATACAAAAATGAAACAACATGCAACACCAGAACACCGGGTCATTCACTCACCAGCACTTTGGACTTGTGTTCACCCAACAAGGGGATGTCAGCCACCTTGTAGAGAAGATCAAATACCACTTTC